ATACTGTAAAAAAATTAACATGCGCGATATTCATTTGCAATTAAAAAACAATATAATATTAAATACATTTGTACATAATATATATTTTTACAAAATCTCATTCTAATTTAATATAATATATCATTTTCAATGACTAATTGTCATGACAATTTAGCACCGGCAATCTATTACAATGTAATAATAATATATAATATTATATCACAATTACATTTACTCATACAATGGAAACTCGGTGTCATTATAAATTTGCTCAAAAACTGGGAAAGATAGATAAAAGCTGTGAGAGATCTGGTCACAGCAAAATCGGTTTACATTCCATTAACAACGCGTTAACAGCACGACGCATAGCTTGTATTCATGTATGTACCATCCATGCGCCACGTGTAACAGCAAATAATCAGCTCGCGGACTTCATGTTTGTAAAGTCGCCAGAGCACGAGCGATTTAACTGAACAACATTAAATTGAAACGCCTCACGGCACAAAACTCTATCGATTTGCAACAACAACTGGGAAAAAAGGAGGCAAAGAATTTACCCGTTTATATATGGTCGTTTACATGAAAAAAATTAAAATTTAAGACAGCAGATTAACAGCTCGAATGTAATATGATAGGAGGCAAAAATGTTGCATTTATGAATATTTTAGTAATTTACGCAGAGATTGCTGTTTACAACGCTGAGAAATATTTCATATATGAATTTCCATGGTGACATATTCACTATTTACAACCTACTACGTAGTCTTGCAAAAAATTATTAATTTATAAGTATTCTTATTAAAATTTTTATAAGAGTATTTATCTCAGTTACTCTAATTTCTAACTACAACAAACGGATATAAATATTGAAACTTAAAGTGTCATTACTTTTTACCGTGAGAAAAAGGATTATACAAGATTTACTCTTTTGCCCATTTACTCTTTGTGCCTTTGCAATCGCAAATACGTTGGTTACGAGGATAACGAAAAGGATCAAAGGAATAGCGGGCAATTATCGAAGAAAGAAAATATACGTGTAATGTTGATAGTTTGTGATCGAGAGTCCTTTGTTATACGATATTATAGATGAAAGAAACTATAACATTATCGATATCGAGGGTCCTCGACGATAGTATTATCTCCGAATAGGTACTTTACATCACGTTTATTGTGGTCGTTCGTGTTATCGATTCCACGTTTGTAAACCGTAATGAAACCGTAATTACCGGACAATGCGCTAATTTGTCATTGACTTTAATAAGCAGGATTAATTGTAGTGAGTATCGAATTCGAAATAGTTGGTCTTTTTTGTATGTTGTAATCTCTTTCGTACATTTTCCTATTTTTATTAATTAATTTTAAAAATATTTCAGAAAATAAAATTAAAAATATTTTAGAAAATAAAAATAAAAAGTTTTAATAATCAATTGCTAATTAAAGTCTTAAATTAAATTAAAAAGACAAATCTATTTTTTTCATGATATAATATATTTGTAAAAATAATGTAGAAACTTAAATTTTACAAATTAAAGAAAAATAAAGAAAGGGAATATTAAATTTTACAAAAAATAAGGAAATATTGCTTTCCTACTTTTCTATCAACTTCTATATAATTTTAAAGAATAGTATTTTTAAAAATTTATATTTCTCTCTCTTTTGTCAAAAGAAATTTTTGTATTGCATGTCACATTGCATTTTTTTACCTTGATAAAAATTTTCAATAAATGTATTTATTTAATTTTTGCTTTTTAATTTATAAAATCAAAATTGTAGAAATATTAGATCTTCACACATACTGCTACGTATTTATCTCAATATCATTTTAGAGGAGAAATTTCAAATGGATTGCAGTAATTTCCTATATCCACCAACAACCGTTGGCTTTCGTAGCTGTATTCCGAACAGTTTGTTTGCTATTGGACATATCGGCAAACCATCAAGTCGACTAATCTACACACAAAGCAGCAAATTAACTCTCGGTTAATTATTTACGTGATCGAAATAGTGCGACATGTGTAATAGAATTCCGATATACACTTGTGTACATTGATACTGTTATTAATATCTTACCTGATTATGTTGATATTTTAATCGATAAAACGATAATTAACAACAACTTATTTTAATTATTGTGAATTTTCCTTTAATCTGTGTAAATTGAAAACTTGATCAGCAAGCTGAACGAAATTTAGCAACGAATGTCCTTTATGCAACAATCGCTGCAATTACTGACGGCAAATTAATAGAAGTTTAGTTAAGTCTCAACGCGCGAGCCTAAAGATTATGTATGAAGTTCTGACTGAAGTGCTTGCAGCTTATTAATTAAACGTTGTTGAACTTAATACGATTTTACATCAGAGACTAATGAAAGAGAACTATTAGCATAGGAAACATTTCAACATTTCGTAGGTGATGGATTAACATAAAAGTGATCATATGACATCAAAATTTTATTTGCTATTATAACTTGTCATTTCTCCTTTATTTTCACAGCATGTTTTTTGAAATGCCTTAATTGTATAGATTATAATTTTCTTACTTGTCCTATGTTTTATGTATATACTATTCGAAATAATACATATTTTATACACTGGAAAAAAGCTTTTAGAAAATTTATCTTTTTGTGTGTTTTTATCAATTTATATTAAATTTACAAATCTATGAACGATATCAAAGACGCTACACTAGAAGTGTAACATAAATGCATTACATATTGTTTTCTCATTTTTGTTAATTTTTTAATTGAAAAAAGTTTTCAGTAAATATTTTAAGAGATTTCAAGCAAAAAGTCTACATTATCATATAATAATAATCTTAAATACTTTTGAATGCGTCTAAATTTTATTTTGAAAAAACTTAGAGAAATACTTTAGAAGATCCTTTGTTTTAAAGATTAATAAAATATTTTTATTATATGTATAAAAAAATATAAAAGATAATTTGTATATTATTACGTAAAAGGAAGGTGAAAGAAATGTAAGTCAGTGTGACTCATTTAAAAAGTTTTATGTTACATTTGTTTATGAGAAAGTAAAAAATATTATTAGCGCAAACCACTATGTTATACTTCTCTTTCAGTGCGTAGAACGTTAAAGAACGGTCTCTCGGAAGAAGAGAAGAAGCACATCGCCGCCTACATCAAGGGCTACTGACTGTGATAATACTCGAAGGCCACGACATGCTCTCACGAAACGAGACGAAGAAAGAACGGAAAGTTAATACTGCGAAGGGGCGGAACAGTGGAAGCTCGGTGAAAACATTGCAATCTCTCCGTCGTAGATCTTCGATTATAGGATCCTATTTTCTCCTATTACCAGGACACTCCGAGATCGGACGATATCGACGATCGATTCTACGACACGTCGCTGACGTTCATCGAATTTAATATTCGCGTAAAGCCCCATATGCACTTCATATGTGCACCTGTCATTCGATTTGCTAAGGTAGGATAAGTATGAAAAAAAAAAACAGAAAAAAGATACTATAGTTTTGTTGAATTAAACAAGTATTAATCGGTGATTTAGGCTTAAGCCAATGATTGAGAACAAGTATTTTTCTTAATACGTCGTTCGCGCACGAGAAACAATATCTCGGATGCGTATTAGGAATTATTATTTAGGAATGTCCTTATAGATAGATTTTTGTTATGTAAGTCCTTCTATAAACATTTTTCTGTTTTACAAAATTTTCCTTGTTTTGTATAGAAATTTCTGAAAGTTTCAAAAGTTGTTTACGTTTTCCTTTTGCCTCTTTGAAAGTTATTACGCGTGTTGTGCGTATATTATATACATTTTACGTATGTATCGTACTCGGTACTTCTCGGAAGATTCACTCGAATCGTGGATGACAGGGTCGACTTGACAATCATATAACATCACGTGCCTCGACGAATTTTTATAATCGATCGATTTTTAAGAGCGACTACTCCGAGTAATCGATGCTTTTGTTCGCATCGATCCATTTACAACGAAGAAACAGCCATTTTGCATACGAAGTAAATATATTCTAGATTCTAGAACGATTCCTGTCGAATAGCAAACACATACCGGACGACATAAATCTGCCTAGCAGCTTAATTATTTTAATCATCATTTTATTATTGCGTTTCGTAGAAACGCATAATCACATTCAGTGTAACTTTCTGTGGAAATGATTCTTTAAATAAAAGGAGAAACAATTATAAAAATAAATATGAATATGTAATTTTCCTTTTCCTTCAAAATATTTTTTTTTTTCAGAGAAAGACAACTTGTTTTAAGATTTAATACTTTCTGGATTTTTCAACTTTGATTTTTTACAATATAAAAAAGGTAAGTTTTATATTAAATATAATATAAACGATTAAATATAACGAAGGCTGAATAATTATTAAATAATTATAAATTATAAACTAATTTTTATAAATGTATTTCAGTTTTCTTAAATTCCAAAATTTGAACTTTGTTTTCTCATCAGTTCTTATTTACAAAAAATGAATGATTAATAAAATAATAGTTTTTGATGCAATAAATCTTTTACTTTTATAATCCTAAACACTTTAGATAATGATACTTCAAGTAATAATAAAAAATAATAAGAATGATTAATATTGTTAATATGTCCGAAAACAATGTTGTTCCAAAGCAAAATGAGACAAAAAGTCATTTGAGAAATGTCATGCATTACATGACGTACGCATTTTATGTACGAAAATTAATTGTGGCAAATATATGTAGAAATATTTGATTGCAGATCCATAAAATATTTCATCGCATTTATAACTGTTGCGAATAAACTTTCAGACAGGGATGCAGAAATTGAAAGAGGTAGTTATATAACAAACTGTGCTCGAGACACATGATTTATTATTAACCATCATCCAACTTTAACAACATACAATATAATGTAGTAATAAAAACGTATCAGTTAAAATGTAATAATGCGACGATAGGGGGATGCTCGCGTAAGAGCGACCATATTCATCTCCACTACGCATCCTCGGGATATTTCCTCTTCCTCATTTCTTCGTCATCCTCTTCTTGTCTCCTACGTGAACATCGCGCGCGCGCGCGACTCTCGAGCAAGGGATCGTTATGACTGGGATAGGTTGGTGGAAGCTTTGAGAGTAGGACAGAATGCATGTGAGTTTCAGCACCATACGTCGATGCTTTTTAGTTATGCTAACATTTATAATCATGTAGAAAAAACACTCTTTCCGTCACACCTTTATCTCGCTCAATCACAATCTCTCTCTTTCTCTCTTTCTCTCTTTCTCTCTCTCTCTCTCTCTCTCTCTCTCTCTCTCTCTCTCTCTCTCTCTCCCTTTATATTTTTATATAATATATATAGCGCGAAACACACAGTTTCACTTCACGTCACTACAGTGCAATCATTCGAGCAGACATTCGTATATTTTTTTTTGTTTATATCGTATTAAAATGTACAATAATGTTCCGCCGGAATGTTTCCCTAGGAATATCCGTGAAATTTTCATGGATCTTTGTAAATTTCCGCAAATTTTTAAACTGGTTGAAAATAAATAAGAAAAAAATGCAATATTTATATTAATTATTTAAAGACTATAGATTTGATATATATTTTCACGATTTAACAGTCAACGAAAAATTTGTTGTATCAGAAACTTTATTTGGTAAAGGAATCATAATTCTGCGCAATATAAATTATCTATAAAAACTAAGTAACTGCAGAAATAATTGTTTGTATACTGTAGTATAAAGATTTTCAAAACGAGATTGTATGATAAATAAAATAAACAATATTGAGCGATAAAAATTGCAGATCTTCCTAGTAAGATGTACTAGGATAAGAAAGGTTCAGATGGAAATTGCACTGGAAATTGATCAATATTTCCTCTGCAGATTCTCGGTTAATCTTGTGCGTATAAGATGGCTCGTGGGATTGTAATCGTGATTCTTATTTTCAAACGAATGAAATCGTATCCTTTAGAACACCCGAATTAAAAAATTAGGAAATTTTTAAGCTATTTGAGACTATCAAATAGTTTTCAAAACTTCCAGATCCCCTTTTTTCCGAATTTTTCAAAAAACAGTTTCACTTTACGCTCATCGTTGTTAATCAAAATGTCCACCTACTCTTGTAAGTTTCCTGCAATCGAGAACATGAATACGACTCGACGAGCCGAAGATTCCCGAAGATTGTATCCCTCTGATGCTGGTATCAGTGGTGCTATATCAGAAAAGTTTGCTGGTAAATTTGCTTGGTCTTGCAAGTTCGAGCACGCGTGTACTCGGCACAATCGATCATTGGATCCTTCGGGAATACCCGAGAGGGGACTCGAAGAGGTGATTTTATACAGAGGTGAACACGTGATGGCGCGGGGCGCGTCGATATCGTCGACGGTTGGGACGACGACGTCAACAACGGGCGCTTGGAGACGCGATGATGAGGGACGAAGACTTCAGAGCTCATCATGCTTCGGCCCACTGAACTCGTCGTGGGAGATGAAGCCGTTCTTGTCCTTGTCCTCGTGCTGGAAGATCTCCTCGACGAGCTTATCATGATCAGCCAGCATTTTCTTTACGTCTTCATTTTCACTAGCACCCGCTTGCTCGGCTTCTATCACCTGCTTTCGGAGATAATCGCTTACCTGCAAACAAAAAATTGACCATGTACGGATTAATTAAAACGGTTGCATAGAAAATGGCATAAACGTCTACAAAGTATATTATACATATGTAGATTTATAAAATAAAATTAATATTGTTAAGCTTGTAATTCAGCAGAAAATATAAGTAGATTAAAATATGCATATTAATATACTGCAAATTATTCCTGTAATACGAAAATTAATTTAAATTTCTGTGTGTCAAATTTCTTTTTGTCAGTGAACATTGTAAAATTTATTTCTCATTTTCAATATGAAAACAATTTCATAACTTTTAATTATCATGATATATCACAGCAAGTATTACACAGTTCTACAAAGTTCTTTTTAATTTTTTGTTATACGTATTTGTACAAATGTAATGCGAATATGTATAAAAAATAATATAATAGTTTCCGAATAATGATATACGAATACATCTATAAGTATTATAGAACATTTATAAAATACAAATAAATTTTAATATTATATTATTTTCATCCATGCGTATAAAAACAAATATATTAAGATATTTGTAGCACTATTTTTCTACTACCAGCACCACAAATGGCCCAAATAAAAACTTAAAGTGATCTTGCCATTGCTCTCACCTCCTCGCGGGACAGTTGGTTGTCTTTGTCAGCATCGATTTCCTTAAAGACGTTAGCGGTTGGGGGCGAATCGCTAATATTCATAAGTTCAACTTCAAACGTAAGAGTAGCACCTAAAACAACAGTAACCTTTTATGTTAATTGCTTGCATATGTATATAAATTATTACAGAGAAATACGGTAGTAAAAATTTTCTGAGAGCAATATAGAAAATTTACATTTTATTAATTAAAGCAAATTTATATTATACTAATGTAAACATTTTAATATAATTTAAAATTAAATAAGCATAAAATTTCAAAAAAATTAATTTTCTTTTTTTTTTTAATCTAATTTATTAGCTTTGTTAGAGTTAAAATTATTTTATAAAACAGTTATTTTTTTAACATTTTAGATGATTTACTTTATAAAAAGTTGATATATATTTAGGTGCAAGATTTCCACTTGAAGAGGTTTATCCATTTACTGCAAATACTATTAATCTCGATTTGGCAAATACTCGTAAATCATTTTTAGAACTCATCGATCTACTGTCAAGCACAAAGCTTTTTACACGTTTTGGCGGATGTAGGCGAAGGATATGTATAGACTATATATTTATAGAGTAAAGGGTCAAATCGACAAGTGTATCTAAATAAAAAAATAATAAAATAAACAGTAAATACCAAAATAATTAAAAAGACATAATAATATAAATGCAGCCTAATTACAATCTGACATATATCTGTTTTACTGAGTTGATTGATCTGCTGAATGCAATCATTGTCTTTGTAAAGTTTTCGATACTAGAAATTCTAATTGTAATAAAAAAGCTATAAAATACAATACATTGTTAAATTTAGAATCGAACCCAAAATTAATCATGCACACGTACATGTTCAGATATCTAGGCACGACCAAACATTAATAATAATGCATACAGAAATTCGATTGCCAATAATAGTGTCTATAGATATCCGAAATAACAATGACCAGCAAATGCAGCTGGGGAGGGGCTAACGAAGTGTTCGGCACAGGAGAGAATGCATACGCGCGCTCGGCACGTCCAGCCATTAATTATGGATGGTCCCGTCGCGATTAAGCTGGCCCTAATGAAATATGGCGCTTAATTATTCACTACTTAAACGAGTGAAATTAATACGGCGAATAATAATGCGCTGCCCGGTGTAACAGCCACTGTCGCCGTGAAAATTGGACGTGAGAAATGGAGAGGGATGATGGGAATATTCCAATCCTCGCGCGCGGTTCCCTCTAGTATTCTTTATCATCGCATTCTGTGTGGAAGGACATTTCGATGGCAATAGTTTGCCGTGTAGTTAAAAAATGCCCCCAAAGTTATATTGCTTGGCATATATATTAATATAATAAACTATTATATACGTAGCAAATAGGAACAAGAATTGTGGATTATAAAATTACAATAATAAATTAAATTAGATTATTTAAACCAATAAATCAATTAAGTAAAGAAGCGCCAATGCAGTCGAAGTTAGATTCTTGGTCTAATAATATTTATGTATATCAACATTTAAATATATTTTTAAAAGTGCTTCAAAGTGCGTGCTGAATCTAGTCAGTCTTGAAAACATAAAAAGAGAAGAGTTTAAATTATAGCTGAAAAGAGTAATATCACAAATTAAATTGATTATCAATTTAATAATATATAATGATTAATAATAATGATAAAATATCAAGCCTCTTAACACTGAAGAGCAGGGCTTACTTATTGCTAAAAATATTACAGGATATCTTAATAAATTTGAGATACATGGTAATATTTGTTTCAATAACTAATATATGTACATAAAAAGAGAATTTATTAAAAAATAAATGTGTATAAACAATAATAAGTTAAAGAGTATAAATATGCCTACGTGAATAAATCAATTAAGACTCATGGCTGACAGAATATTTTTAGTAATAAATTCTTCTTAATACTTTTATAATACTTATTAGCATTATTATTATTATTATTAATTTATTTATTTTTGATATTGCTATATGCAATTTTTAATTTAGGAGTATGTTTTTAAGACCACAGTTTGAAATATAAATATTAAAAATGTATTTAAATATTTATATAAAAATATTATTAGACACTAACATCTACATTTCACGCTTCTTTACTTATGAATTTATAATAAAATAATCATATAGTGGTATAAAAGCGTCATAACTACCGTTATAATTTACCGTTTGAAGTACGTATTAATTTTGAATAAACTCGTGAAAAGTCATGTATGTAAAAAATAATAAAAAAATAAACAGTGGGACTGGAGCGAAATGGTGCAATTTATCCACACGCGAAGACCCCGCTAAAGAGGCGAATCGTTTATCATTGTTGATCCCGCCATTGCAGCGTTGCCGAGAGTCGGGCAACGATGCTCAATTTAATGGTTGATACTTTATTGGATTTCCGTGCAATTGCATTTTTGACTTCGATTTTGCTGCTAACGACTACCCTTGTATCGACCTGTCCAATAGTGTTTATCACCCCTTCCTCTCTCTACCGATTCCTCACTAATCCTTTCTCGCGTAAAAATGGTCCAACGTGTAATTTGAAAAATGCTCACGTTAGCGTGATGCTTTTTAATCGTAACGAATACCATTGCTGTCTGGTTGATTGTCGAATATATACCTATACTAGTACGTATTTCAAGTGGCAGAACGGTTCAGAAAAATTAGAGAAGCACTAGCTCGCGAGCATAGAAAAGAGTACAATAAAATTATAGTAGCTGTTATTAATTTGTGAGCATTTATTTTATCAATTCGTGAAAAAAATTGAAAAAATTTTTAATAAAATATCAATTGTTGATTACTCACGTACAAAATAATTCATGTCTCTGAAAGCATACGTGTATACACTTTTTGAAAAAATATAAAGTATTGAATCAAATTTTATATTTTTTGTAATAAATTTAATTTTCTTTTTTCCACTAATAAATGTACAGATTATTATAGTATATAAAAATTGTATACTTATACATGTATTGTATAAAAAAACTTTCATTAATTTGCCAAATAGCTTCATCGTTATTATGTTGTTATTGTTTTTCAACATGTATAAATAAATATTAAATTAATTTACTACATTCAAGTTTATTTAAATTTTAAAGATGATTAAAAATTAAAAAAAGTTTGATTTACATATAACAAACATACTAAAAGTATTTTATAAACTTATTAATTAATATCTACAAAAAATTCTATAAAGGATAAACAATAACAAATAAATACTGTAACTTTTACGGCTTTTCCATGTATAAAATTTAACATAATATATACAATTTAATGTAACGTTATACAATATCTATTTTATTTAAACATTGCATATTATTTGAAACTGTTTCACTTATGATGAAACATGAGTAAAATTATATATTATTAGCTTGTCATTTCAATGTAGTCACGTACAATAATTAAATATTAAAACATATTTTTATTTTTAATTACATATATACGTTAATTATTATGACTTTAGTATATATGATTCATTTGATTAATGAGAATTTATTTTACGAGAAAAATTTTAAATAAATTGAATTGTTTACCGAATACGTGTGTTATTTTATATAGAATTAAGCGTATAATTTTTTACCCAGGAAAATCTTTTACAATACTAATATATTATATATAAATATATTATAAATTATTAAATACAAAAAACGTTAAATATAAATATTAAATGTTAAAAGAAATTCAAAAATAATAAAAAAATGTCAGCGTACCACCGGGAATAACATTTCCAGCTCCCTTTTCACCGTATCCCAGCTCAGGTGGTATCGTCAATCTCCTTTTCTCGCCTACACACATATCCAGAAGACCTTGATCCCAACCTTTAATAACTTGTCCAACACCAAGCTGGAAAGTAAATGGTTGATCTCTATCCAAACTATAACAAAAAAGGATAATCTCACTTAGAGTTACATTCTACTAGAGTCACACTGTAAAATATTAAATTAAAACACACACACATTTTTTTGGATAGACATAATCCTTTACATCTCAAGATACAAGAAAATATGAAAATATGCTGCTTATTAAAAGTTGTTTAAAAAAGCAAGTGTTATTTCTGTTCATAACATTTTTTCTTCAATCATAAAGCATTGGTATGCTGTTATAAAACAATTTGCAAAAATGTATATTAATAAATTGTATTATGTAAGAAAATCGTCTTTATACAATAGAAATATTCTTTCTGTGTTTGCATATCATTATGTCCGTTTTAGAAGATATGAAGAATTCTTTATTTTTCAAGCATAACGGAACATGTTCAGTCTTTACTCGCATTACATCGCGCTAACTACAGTAAACTTCCTCATTTCAGCGAGGCATCAAAATGTTTGTTGTAACAAGTTTCGCGACAACTTATTCATGTCGAGAGTTAAAAGCGACACGGCGTAAGGAGAAGAGCGACGGACTAATTGGAAAACGTGCGGAACAATCAAGTCCCATTTCGCTGCACCGCAAACTTTCACCAAGAATTCACTATTGTGCCGGCGTCGAATGCAATTGCATGACTACGCTCGATATTTCGCACCAAATCTAAAGACTTAGATCATTATTAGAAATGTCAATTTGTCGTTATGTAAAATAGAGAGAGAAAGGTGGAGAGAAAGAGAGAGAAAGCAAGCATATATTCAGCGATCATTCTCAGTGCGAAAACCGACGATTTCCTGAGTCAGAAGAATATTACGGAAACTAGAGAGGCAAAACCGATGTTGTATATTTTCTGGGCCTCCTTCGGGGCATCTCAAGATGGACGGTTTTATATATATGATTAAGAGGCATGACGTCGAGCGCACACGTAAGTTGAAAGTAACACGGCAACATGCAGCCAGATACAGTCAAGTGGAAAACTTCATGCACGAGTACGAATGCGATGTAAAAATGCAGTGTGATAATATTTAAGAATTAAAAATAAGAACATAAATAGAAATATGTAAATTTCTTAGAAAAAAAAACAAGAAATGAAAAAGGATAATCAAAATACATTGTAAGCAGCATAGAAAATCTACGCATGTACAAGTAGCTTCAATTTATATATACTTATACAGAGAAAAGTCGCTGACATATGTTTCTTAAAGACACTTCCTTATTTCTCAGAAAAAAAAACATTGCATTTTATTAATAATTATAAAAAACATAACTTGTTTAGATGATTAAAGAAGAAAAACTAATAATTTATATATATTTATTGTTAGTTTTTATATAAAATCAGCTAGAAATAAATTCTACAAATATGAAAATAAAATATAGTCCACGAACAAATTAGTATAACGATGCCAGCAATCTTCCTTTATCTTTGTATGTAATATATCATGCTTTTGCGGTATATACATATATAATGCAATATATACATATATACATATATGTTAGTAAATATTGTAGATATGTGATAGATTATAATTTAAACTTTTTCGGAGTATTTACTGCAGAAATGCAAAATATGTATTACATGAAACGCAAAATATGTATAAAGAAACCTAGAAAGGATAGGATTTCTCATTATTTTATGATTTTTCATTTTTTTATCACAGATAAATATATTTTTCATGAAATATTTTTATTTAGGAAGTATGAAAATTATGCGTGGTTAAGAGAGAATTTCTGTCTACACACTTTTTTAATATAATCTTCGTCCACTTGTGCTTGTGGCAAAAATAAGCTCGTACTCCGTGGAGATTATATTGAAAAATAAAGGTATACAGAACATTCCTTTCATTCGTTTTCATTATACGTAATATTCTCGTTTCGGGATAAACATGAAGAATGGAAGAAGGAGCATTACATTCTCTGAATAAACTGTAGCTGTAATGAAACTCCCTTCTTGCGGTCCTTTTTTATATTTTAAAATTACTCGGGAAGAACCGTAATTATGTTTTAAAATATGCGTAAAATATAATCCTATTATTGAAAAACAT